CTGCCCACAGTTCCTTTTTTTGGTGCACAAATTTGTGCACTGGGCCCCTAGTATTGTAATAACTGTGTAGGGTGCCAGGTGGGCACTGGGAAGATTGGGGGGCACACTTCCTAAAATGTATGACTGTCTGAGCACGATGCTGTAAACTACAACTGAAAGATGAAATTTAAATTAAAGAGAAAAGAAAAAGAAAGACAAGGTTAGATACTGGCCAGTTTCTATCAGAGAAGAGCCAAGGGCACACACGGGGAATGAAGACTGTGTGGGCTTTTCATCCACGTTGCAGCCGAGGCTGAGTGCTGCTGCCCTGCCAACAGCCGGCACACAGTGGGGGGACACAGACAGCGGGCACACAGTGGGGAGAGGGAGGCAGCGGGCACACAGTGGGGACAGGGAGACAGCGGGCACACAGTGGGGAGAGGGAGACAGCGGGCACACAGTGGGGAGAGGGAGACAGCGGGCACACAGTGGGGAAGACGTAAAAGGAAACGTGGACTCTGGACCCTCTGCAGAGAATTACTTAGAAAGAAATCAAAATGACCTCCAAAAACAGTCTGGCATTTTCCTGTCAGGAAGAACTGAGCAAGTCTGCGTGTGTGTGACGCTGTACGGAGGGACTGTGATTTCGCATGGAGCATGCTGTGTGCAGGTACAACGAGGTTGGTAGGAAGGCAAGAGCGGCAGCCTAAGCAAAGGGAAGCTTAGAGCTGCCGGGTAACCTCTGTAGAGAAATGGCTGAGGAAAAGGAGACTTTCTAAGGGGGAAGCTCCCCACCCCGGCACAAACCCACCAGCCGGGAACACAGCGGGCGGCCTCCTCAGGCTGCTGGGCAGCCCCCTGGGAAAAGGCTGCAGAACCTCTGAAAGTGCTTAAAACCCCGGAGAAAAGCTCTCTGACGCATACACTTCCGTGTGCGCGTGCTTGTGCACATGTGCGCTGTATGTGTGCGTGTACATGTGCCCATGCATGTGCACGTGTGTGTGCATGTGTGTGCACGTGCACCCTGTTGCCTGAAACTAGAGCAAAGGCGGTTCTTTCGTGTACCTGCTGAGTCCGAGTTTGGGTCACCATCCCAGTTACAAACACTGAGGACGAGAAAAAGGAAAGGCCATGGGAGCAGGGCCTGGTCGTCTATTCTCACAGAGACACCAGGGGCCGTGGGAAAGACGGGACGCGACAAGAAGGTGGGACATGGGACCCTGGGAAAGACGGGACACGACAAGAAGGTGGGACATGGGACCCTGGGAAAGACGGGACAGACGAGAAGGTGGGACATGGGACCCTGAGAAAGACGGGACGCGACAGGAAGGTGGGACATGGGACCCTGGGAAAGACAGGACAGACGAGAAGGTGGGACATGGGACCCTGAGAAAGACGGGACGCGACGGGAAGGTGGGACATGGGACCCTGGGAAAGACGGGACGCGACGGGAAGGTGGGACATGGGACCCTGGGAAAGACAGGACGGGACAGGAAGGTGGGACATGGGACCCTGGGAAAGACGGGACGCGACGGGAAGGTGGGACATGGGACCCTGGGAAAGACGGGACGCGACGGGAAGGTGGGACATGGGACCCTGAGAAAGACGGGACGTGACAGGAAGGTGGGACATGGGACCCTGGGAAAGACGGGACGCGACGGGAAGGTGGACATGGGACCCTGGGAAAGACGGGACGCGACGGGAAGGTGGACATGGACCCTGGGAAAGACGGGACGCGACGGGAAGGTGGACATGGGACCTGGAAAGACGGACGCGACGGGAAGTGGGACATGGCCCTGGGAAAGACGGACGCGACGGAAGGTGGCACATCGACGGGCAGGGCACCCGAGCTCTCGGCACCTGCAACAGGGAGGCCGCTGGTGGCGGAGGCAAGCCCGCAGGCGTGGGGACCTGCAGGACAGGCGCCTCAGGCAGGCGGGGAGAGAGGCTCCAGGCACAGAAACCACCCAAATCAGGAGGAGCTGGGTGTGTCTGAGGAGCCACAGAAGGCTACCCTGGATGAAGCATGAAGCAACGACAGGGATTCTGGGACTTTCTTTGGTGATTTCATTTCCTGATCTGACACCAGCAGTGAATTTAAAGATGACAATTTGAGCTCTGGCTGGTGTGGCTCAGTGGACAGAGCGTCGGCCTGTGAACCAACGGGTCCCGGGTTCGATTCCGGTCAAGGGCACATACCTTGGTTGCAGGCTCCTCCCCGGCCTGGGCCCTGGTCAGGGCTCGTGCAGGGGGCAACCAATCGATGTGTTTCTCTCACACCGACATTCCTCTCTGTCTCCCTCTCTCTTTCACTCTCCCTAAGAATCAACGGGAAAGGATTGAGGATTAAAAATAAAAAATAAATGAAAAGATGCCGATTGAAGGGCAGGAGGAGGGAGGCTTCTCTGTATCACACAGGAACGAGCCTGGACCTTCCAGGACAGACCGCGGCTTCCGAACCCACGGTCCCCACCGATGGTGCCGCTCCAGCTTAGGGTTTCCATTCCCAGCAAACCGAGGGGAAGCGAAAACACCCAGATGGCTTTCCCATTGCTCACGGGGCCTATAAGAAATCACACCCCCGCCCGCCCGCGCCCCTGGCTTCCACTCACCCAGCAGCACTGGCCTCAGGGTGAGTCTCAGGAGGCAGAGCACGCCGCTCTCCATCTTCAGCCTGAAGAGAAGAGGGAAAAGTCAGGAAACAGTTTCAAGAGACGTTCACTCACGGCACCCCCACAGCGAGACCCCCGGCGCCCCGCCAGGCTCTGGGCGCAGCGTGGAGGGAAGACAGGCAGCGGCTGAGCCAGAGGCGAAAAGCAGCCAACAGCGAACAGAGCAGCAGGGGTGGGGCTGCCGCGAGGCCTGGGAGTCGCTGGGGCTGCCTTAGTTGAGCTGGAAGGGCAGATGGGATGAAAGTTGCTTTTCAAGAGAAAAAAGGCACATGGTTTGAGAATGCCCTGGCGAGGACAACCCTGGACATTCTACAGCCTGAGTTTCACCTGGACAAGACGACGGGACGCTCGGCCTGAAATTAACGTGACCACCTTCAAACCGATGAGGGCCGCCCAGGCCTTAGAGCAGGGAGACTCTGTGGCCGGGTGCGGGATCACTCAGCTCGATGGCACAGAAGCCACAGGAAGGAACGCCTCCCGCTTTCTCTGTGAAGCCTCCTCAGAACGAGAGCTGGGCAGCCCTGACGTGTGCTCAGCTGATGAGCATCATCCCATAGATGTTTCTCTCTCACATCGCTGTTTCTCTCTCTTAAATCCATAAACAGCCCTTGCCAGTATGGCTCAGTGGATAGAACATCGGCAAGGGTCTCGGGTTCAATTCCAGTCAAGGGCACATACCTCGGTGGCAGGCTTTTCCCCAGCCCGGACTCTGGTTGGGGCTCCTGCAGGAGGCAACCAATCGATGTGTTTCTCTTCCATGGATGTTCTCTCTCTCTCTCTTTCCCTCTCTCTTCCACTCTCTCTAAAAACCAATGGAAGACTATCCTCAGGTGAGGATTAAAAAAAAAGATCTAAAACAGTCCTTACCTGTATTCTAATCAACCACAGCTCCACAAGGAGCACCAGGGTCAAACTGTCCGAGAAGGTCCGACCTGGTCCCAACTCCGAGGAGAAGTCAGGTGAAACCCTGAACCCCGATCCTCACCTATCACACCGGCTGCTAATGCAGGGACCAGCGCTGATAAAGTCATCGTGCTTTGAAGAAGATAACGCATAACCACAGAAGATCCTATTCTTTCTAACCTGAAAGGCAATAGTCTATAGCTTTCAGGGGAGAGGATGGGGTTAGAGCATCTACCTTTAGAAGAATAGCAAATAATTCATTTAAATGAACTGGAAACGTGTGAGTTTCCATGTCTGAATCCCAGCCCGCAATGTCGATGATGACGACACTGACTCAGATACACCAGAAGTGACGGTAAGTTTCCCCGAGCACAAGTACCTCTAGGCAAACACAGGCCCCTCAAGGTCACCACAGCCCTATTCCTGCTCCGTGACACCCACCTCACCCCCACACACGGTGAGCATGCCACACCCCTGGGACCTCCTCAGAGTTCTGGATGAATTATTCTCCAGGGAGCTGTGCTCCGCCCCTGCCTGGCAAGCAGCTTCCGGAGGCTCCCCACACACCGCACCATCTGCACGGAGAGGTGGTGCTCGATGTACGTGACTAACACCAACCACATTCCCTCTACACGACTGAGAGCAGGCCCACACAGCTGCCAAAAAGACCATCAGATGGAAATCACCTTAGTTCCCCTGCAACTGCACCCCGCTATTGTCAGAGGAAACCAGCAACCTCCAAAGGACCCCGAATCTGATCACCAAACTCAAGTCGCCCAGAGCCACACCCAAACCATTTCAAACAAACCCTAGGAACTGGGAAAACCATCTGATGAATAACAGAGCCATTTTCAGTTCTAAATACTCAAATGCATCACTCACTGTGTAAATGAACAGAGAAGCAATGATTTAATGAAGGGGAAAAGCACAAAATGAATTTTTAAAAAATGATTGTCCCAAATTTACCTACGTCTCTTCCTTCACAGTAAAGGCTCGGACTTTTTTCATTGTTGTTAATCCTCACTCAAGGATATTTTTTCCATTGATTTTTAAAGAGAGTGGAAGGGGGGAAGGGAGAAAGAGAGAGAGAAACATCAATAGAGAGAGACGCATTGATCGGTTGCCTCCTGCAGGTGCCCCAACTGGGGCAACCACGGTCAGGAATCGAACTGCAACCCAGGTACATGCTCTTGACCGGGGATCGAACCCGTGATCCTTTGGTGCAAGCGCCAACACTCCAACTACTGAGCCACACAGCTAGGGCAAAGGCTCGGGCTCTTTCACCCCCCTAGTTAGTATAGCACCAACTAGACATCAGTAGTCGATATGCAATAAACTAGAGAGCGTTCCACGCCAGGTATTTAACGCTCACAGCAGCCCTATGAGGTTTTACAGATGAGGAAACTAAGGCGAAGACTGGTGAGTGACTTGCCTGCTAACACCCACCAAGTGGCAGAACCAGGATTCAAGCACTGCACCTCCATGTCTGGGAGAGGAACCAGCTCCCGGCTTCAATGCTGCCCCACCCCCTCCCCCTCGTTAACTGGCTCATCGTTCAGACCTCGGGTTAAATGTCACTTCCTCGGGGAACCCTCTCCGGAGAGCCCTTCCTAGGTCAGATGCCTGGGCCCAGGTGTTTTGTTTTTGTTTCTGTTTCTGTTTCTATTCTGTTGTTTTTAATAATTCTTTACTGTTAGAAGTATTACATATGTCCCCTTTTTCCTCCACTGACCCCTTCCAGCCTGCCCCCGCCCCTGCCCCAGGCCCTCACCACCCACTGTCTGTGTCCATGGGTTATGCATATGTGCATACAAGGTCCTTGGTTGATCACCTCCCACCCACCCAGCCTCCCCCGCCTTCCCTCCGAGATTCCGCACTCTGTTCCCTGCTTCCATGTCTCTGGGTCCCCTCTGTTCATCAGTTTATTTTGTTACTTAGATTCCACATGTGAGTGAGGTCATGTGACACTTGTCTTTCCCTGACTGACTGACTTCACTCAGCATGACACTCTCCAGGCCCCTCCATGCTGTCTCAATAGGCCCAGGTTTTAATAGTGCTGTTGATGATTCCTCCAGGGCACCTGTCACCATTCTGATGATCCGGTGCTGTGCATGCTTGTTTGATTAAAGTCTTGCTCTCCAGCCGCACCCATCCAAGACTGCACGCTCCAGGAGGCCAGAGCTGTGCTGTGTGCCGCCCTCCACAGTGCCCGCAGGCGAAGGCCCAGGTGGGGCCGGTGGCCACTGTCCCAGGAACACGCTAGTCAAGTTTCAATGTCTAGTTAGTTGGCAATTACTCAGAAATTCCTGTCACATATACAGGTGTCCCAAGAACGTATACACACTGACTTCTATTCCATTTTGAAAAGGAAATGTATTTTAATAAATGCTGTGAAAAGGAAATGTATTTTAATAAATGCTGCCTTTATAATTATTCATATAATATATATATATAGTCACACACATATGTATATGATAGGAATTTATTTTTTCTCTTTATTTTTTTGTTTTACTTTTTCCCATCACCACTTGTCCCCCCTACACCCCCCTACACCCCCCTACATGCCATAATCACCACACAGTTGCCCGTGTCCATGAGTTCCTTCTGTTTTTCCTTTTTTGCTCAATCCCTCCATTCCCCCTGCCTTTCCCCCAACCTCCCTATCAGCTGCTCTCTGTCTATGAGTCTGTATTTTGCTTGTTAGTTCAGTTTGTTCATTAGATTCCACATATGAGTGAGACCAGATGGTACTTGTCTTCCTCTGACTGGCTTATTTCACTCAGCATAATGCTCTCCAGGTCCCTCCAAGCTGTCGCACTGGGTAAAATTTTCTTCCATTTTTACGGCTGAGTAGTATTCCATTGTGCAAATGTACCACAGCTTTTTATCCACTCATCTTCTAGGGGCACTTGGGCTGCTTCTGAACCTTGGCTATTGTAAATAGCACTGCGATGGACATAGGGGTGCACGTATTCTTTACAATTAGTGTTGCGGGTTTCTTCAGATAAATGCCCAGAAGTGGAATGACTAGGCCATAAGGCAATTCCATTTTCAATTTTTTGAGGAACCTCCACAGTTTTCCACAGTGGCTGCACCAGTCTGCATCCCCACTCACAGTGCACAAGGGTTCCTTTTTCTCCACGTCCTCACCACCATTTGTCATTTGTGATTTACTGACAATGGCCATTCTGACAGGTGTGAGTGGTACCTCATTGTCATTTTAGTTTGCATCTCTCGGATGATTAGTGACGTTGAGCATCTTTTCGTATGTCTATTGGCCTTCTGTGTGTCCTCTTTGGAGAAGTGTCTATTTAGATCCTTTGCCCATTTTTAAATTGAATTGTTTTCTTGGTGTTGTTTTATAAGTTCTTTATAAATTTTGGATATTAAGCCTTATCAGATGTATTATTGGTGAATATGTTCTCCCTTTCGGCGGGCTATCTTTTCATTTTGCTGACGGTTTCCTTTGCTGTGTAAAACGTTTTAGTTTGATGTGGTCCCATTTGTTTATTTCTGCTTTTGTTTCCCTTGCCCGAGGAGATATATCAGAAAAAATATTGTTGTAGGAAATGTCCAAGATTCTACTGCTAGGTTTTCTTCTAGGAGTCTTCTGGGTTCGAGTCCAACATTTCAGCCTTTATTTCATTTTGAGTTTAGTCTTTTAAAATATATATATATTATTGATTTTTTACAGAGAGGAAGAGAGAGGGATAGAGAGTTAGAAACATCGATGAGAGAGAAACATTGATCATGGGGATGTGCCCGCAGCCAAGATACATGCCCTTGACTGGAATCAAACCTGGGACCTTTCAGTCTGCAGGCCGACGCTCTATCCACTGAGCCAAACCGGTTAGGGCTTGAGTTTAGTCTTGTCGTGTGTGTGGTGTAAAAAGGTGGTCTAGTTTCACTTTTTTGCACACATTTGTCCAAATTTCCCCAACACCATTTATTGACTAGACTGTCGTTTCCCATTTATGTTTTTGCCTCCGTTGTAAAATATTTATTGACTGTGAAGATGTGGGCTTATTTCTGGGCTCTGTATTCTGTTCCATTGATCTACGTGTCTGTTTTTATGCCAATGCCAAGCTGTTTTATTTAC